GATTGAATGCCGGGGAGGTATTCATTTATACGTCACATGTGTTGGGCAAATAGGCAGGCCATAGCCCATCCTTCACCAAGGTCAAACAACAGACTGTCCTCCGACATGAATGCTAGCATAGGTCACAGCCTGTGGATTCCATCGTGTTGACCCTTTGATTTCAGCTCAGGAAGCCCTCGCTGTACTGACTATCCCATTGGGCTAGATAGCCGTTGACACTGCAAGAAGGGTTATCTGCCTTTTGACGGGTGTTGTTGTAATTCTGCTCGGTGTATAGCTGCCAGAAAAGCCTGGTAGGCAAACCGGTTTAGTCACCGATGACTCTAGCATTCATACAGTGGCACGCGATTTCTTCAGACTATTGTATTGTGTTCAGTTCTTAAATGTATCTCATGACCATGACCTTTTACCAGACTAAGCTCCTTTTAGTAAATTATCAAGCCCACTCGTATGCGCATGAGTCAAATATTCAAAATAAATGCGAATAATGACGCGCAAATGTGAAGAAATCGGATTAATTATTAATATTTAAAAAACACTTTACTCGCGTAAATTAAAGGAAAATATTTTTCTTTGTATCAAAGCAGAAATGAGAGGAAAACTCTTGTTTCATCTGTTTTCAACCTGTTTGATCTGATCATCTCGTTTCATCTGTATTGTTCTTGCTTCATCTGTGTAAATTTTTTTTCATCTGTTTATCTTTTCATCGTGTTCAATCTGTGTTCATTTTGTTTATCTGTATCTTTCTTTTTTCATGTTTTCATTTTGATTGATCCATCGTATTTCATGTTTTCATTTTTTCATCTGTTAATCCTGTTTCATCTGTGTTAATCTTTTTTTCATTTGTTTATCTTGCTTCATCTGTTTATCATGTTTCATCTGTGTTCGCCATTTTATTTGTTTATCTTGTTTGATCTGTTCATCTTCTTTGATCTGTCTTCATCTTGTTTGATCTGTTCATCTTGTTTCATTTGTTTATCTTGTTTCATCTGTTTTCAACTTTGTTAATCTGTTCATCTTCTTTCATCTGTGTTCATCTTTCATATGTTTATTTTGTTTCATCTGTTTTCATTTTGTTTCATCTGTATTCATCTTTTTCCCTCTGTTTATCTTGTTTCATATATATTCATCTTTTTTTCATCTGTTAATCTATTTTGATCTGTTTTCATCTTGTTCGATCTGTTTATCTAGTTTCATCAGTTTTCATCTGGTTTCATCTGTTCCCATCTTGTTTCATCTGTGTATGTTGTTCCATCTGTGTGTCCATCTTTTTTCATGCTTATCTTGTTTTCATCTTGTTTAATCCACCTTGTTTGATCTGTTGATCTTGTTTCATCTATTTATATCTTTATTTATCTGTTGATCTTGTTTCATCTATTTATATCTTTATTTATCTGTTGATCTTGTTTCATATGTTTCCATCTGGTTTAATTGGTTTACTTTTTATGATGTATTTATTTTGTTTCATCTGTGTTCATCATGTTTTATCTTTCTTTATCTTTTATATCTATTCATGTTGTTTCATTTCTTTGTGTTTCATCTGTTTCTCTTGATTCATCTTTGTTCATCCTTTTTATCAGTATATGTCTTTTCATCTCTTCAACTTGTTTCATCTGTCAAAATACGAAGAAATGAATCCGTGAAAGATCATCAAAAAGAAGCCATTTACTGCGTTCATTAAAAAAAGACAACGATGTACGCTAACTACATCCTCATGCTAAAGGAAAATCACGCATAATTTTGATTCGTTTAAACTAAAATCTCTATCCACTTTTTCATACCCATGCAAACCGAATATGAAATTCTTGCAAACCAAGACAATGTCTAATTTTTTGGAAATTCGAACAAAACAAATTTATGCTTATACCTAGAAACCAAACCATTTTTTTTCCTTTTTGACTTTGCGAAACATATTTATATCTACCTTTCTGACTCTTATGCAAAACGAAGCTGTGTTTATCCTTTTAACTCTTGTGGAAACGAAATCAATGTTTACCGTTTTGACTCTCATAGGAATAAAATCAATTTTTACTTTTTTGACTTGCAGAAACGAAATCAATATTTACCTTTTTGACTCCCGTACAAACCAAACCATGCCTACCTTTTTGGCTATCGTTTAAACTAAACCATGCCCAACTTTTTGGTTCTCGTGCAAATTATACCTATTCCTACATTTTTGACTCACATACAATCCAAACCTAGGCCTACCTTTTTAACTCTCGTTTAAACCAAACTATGCCTAACTTTTGGGGCCTCGTCCAAACTATAACTATTCCTACCTTTTTGACTCACATACAAACCAAACCTAGTTCTACCTTTTTGTCTCCGGTACAAACCAAACCTATGAATACGTTTTTGATTCACGTACAAACCAAACTTATGCTTACCTTTTTAACTCCCATACAACCCAAAACCTATGCCTACCTTTTTGACTCTCGTGTAAACCAAACCATGCCTAACTTTTTGTCTGTCTTGCAAACTAAGCTTCTACCTACCAGTTTGACTCACATACAAACCAAACCTACGCCTACCTTTTCGACTCCCGTACAATCCAAACCTATGACTCCCTTTTTGACTCTCGTACAAACCAAAACCTCTGCCTCCCTTTTGAACTCTCGTGCCACAAAAGCGATGTCTACCTTTGTAGAGTACGACAGAATGAAACATTAAATAACCTAGATAGTTAGATATGCCGTAAAACAAACCAAACTCGATCAGAATGCAAATTACAGGATGTATTCATTCATTTTGAAAAAATTCTGCATTGATCCACTGAAGGAAAATCATATCATTGAATCTAGAGACAGTAATTAAAATGTAAGATTCTTTAATTAATCACTACAAAACCTCATTAAAAAAAAGTTTTTAGAATGACAATCTCATTGCTTCTCGTATTTTGCCTCGGACGACGGATAAGGTTGAAGAACTTCAAAGCACGGAAAAATAAAATAAAACTGTTTTGGCGAATTTGCTAAGAAAGAAAACTCCCAA